ATGTACCTTGACTGGGAACTACTGTGTTGTTTATGTTTTCAGTTATCCCAGCTGATATTGAGTACTGTGCTCTTACCTGATTTCTGTTATCACAGGCATGCTTTTCAGAGGTTTTGACCATATATCTTTAAACAATCCCTCTAACTAGGGATTGTTACTGAGAACTGTACCTTTGATGTTTCAGAGATGTTCTATATTCTATACAACAGAGTTTAAACTATTTGAATTTTGTATTGCCCTAATTAGCAAACAAGTTAAGTGTTGCACTGAACTGTTAACATTGAAATTTAAACAGCACTGTCTGTTACACACATTACTTGACTTTAACTGTTATTATAGCATTTTGTAGCTGTACGTTTCTGCAAAAGTGATGTCACAAGCTTATGTGCTTGTTCAAATTCATGTTTTCCTGAAAATGGTTAATATACATTTGTTAGTTGACTTTAAGTGTAGAGGTTAAGCAGTTTTGGCTTTCTTTTTTCATAATGCCAGGAGAAGCTTTAGATGCTTGTTTTGGCTTTATTTGTTTAAAGCAATATATTTGACTAGCAGCAAGTATGTGGAGGTCAAAATATGTTCAAGACAATAAAAATGTCAGTGAAGGACATCTGAAATTTTGTTGCAGTGGTTTTCTGATGCATTTGTTTTAAGGTTTAAGGGTGGTGGCACAGCTAAGACCCAAGAGTCTCTTTCAAGGTTAGTAAAGTAAACAGATTCAAGAAGATCTTTTACACATTTCTTTGTTGTCTGTCTCTAAATCTTATTTTGTCTTTATTATGATTAAAAAGGTTTGTTTTGTTCCTGCCCTTTTCAGACACTGAATTTGAGCAGAAACCATAAGGATACTCAAAGGACCTGTGACTCTCAGGAAATGGTGAGATTTCAGGTCATAATCTTTTTTTTTTCCATTAAATTCATTTTCCTTTTTCCCTTTACAATATTGCTGTTTTGTTTTTGTAAACAGCATCACATGAGAGGGACAGACAGATGAAACAGTTTCAAGACAATGGCAGGAAAAACATGCTGAAGATTGAAACAAACCTTGGCTGGAAATATTTGGTATGTGTTTTACCGTAAATCAAATTGTTGAAAAACATTCAGCTACACTGCAACACAGGGAAACTTGGTTTGCACTTATTTTGTTACTTTAATTTCTTGTCTCATTATTTTTGTCAGTTATTATTGTTTATGGTGTATGCCCTTCTTGTTTTCTTTCTGAATGCAGAAGGTATCTAGCCAGTCCACAATGAAAGCTTCGTTGCACCCCATGAGTCTTCTGGCAGAAATGATGGCGCCTGTATTCTTTGGTTTCCCTAAACATCACACCCTGCCTGTTTATACGAGGCTCTTCAATTAAGTCTGCACCCAAAGATTCAATAAGAGGTAAGCAGTGTTTTGCTAAAGAAAGATGGACAGGAGACACTAATCTTAATCAGCCGAGCTCAGGTTCATGTCCAGGTGAGCAGTTTCATACGCTATAAAATGTAGATTGAATGATAGGTCTCATCACCATGCATTCAGCCATTAACTTCAAGTTCTCTGATAAATCAATAGGAAACTTAAATACGTTTTCCAACAAATTATCATTGTGATTAGGGCTGCGTTGTCTATGTATCACTTTTACATAAGTAGATTTAAAGGATAACTATTGCTATAACTGTTTTGTTTTTTTTTTTTTACTGTATCGATTTTGACGCGCTCAAATTTATGCCCCGGCCCCCTAGTATTCCCATTCACTGGCTATTGACCACAAAACAAAATCACGGTCAATCTCAAAAACGGCTCGTTTGTCGTAATTATGCTTTTAGATATATGTTTGT